AGAGAGAGAGAGAGAGAGAGAGCGATCCTTTGCTGAAATTTGGAACATTGGTGCAGCTCGTGTTATGCAGAGTGTCCCAGAAAGCATTCGACACATATATATATATATATATACTTGATTCCTTTCTGATCGTTGGAACCCCGAGTCTGAGAAACCGGTGTGTCACTCTGAAGAAAATCCTGTTAGTCTGAAAAATCTTATCGTGACGTAGGTATATTGACGTATACATTACACGCGTGTCACGCTTGATATCGAAAGTTTCTTTGAAAGTGATTTCCGCATTTTAATCACTGCTCGCTCGTATAATTCGCAGACGTGGACGCCTACCAAGAATTGGAAATCGAAAAATCGATCTGCTTCTCGGAAAAGGGAAAGAGGCGAAAATGTCAATGGACATATCGCTTGCATTGAATAATTTTGTGTCATTGGATTGAGGGAGCCCACTCATCCCAAGGCGTGCGTCATCAGAAAATTTTGAATAGCCGTCAGGGTGTCGCATTTCTTACATCGATAACGCGATCGTTACTCTTTATCGAGGAAACGAGTAACTTGATTTGCTAGACTATTTTTTCCCTCGTGCTGCTACGCTCTGTATGTGAGCTGTTAGTATCGATTGTATAGCTCCATTGGCAAAGTGACTTGCCCACCCGTGTACACATCGTCTATTACGATTACTTATTTGACCCACGTAAGTGTTATCGATGATCGTGCAGCTTTTCGGTCAGCAGGAATTTAGAAAATTACTTCTCGATAACATTAAAATTCTCTTCGACGCGAGAGGAATTGTTAATGAGGAAATTTTCGTTTTTACCGATACACGGCAGTGTAAGTTCCTGCAATAAAGATGTACGTATCATGTTCGTATCTTCAAATCGGTTTGAACACATTGAGTGCCACGTGTATCAAATTTATTACACGGTGAACCTCATTTATATATATATATATATATATATAAAATTTATATTAATTTATATACATAAATGTTTATTTATATATATGAATAATGGTTCATCGTGTAACAGATTTGGTACACGTGGCACTCAATGTGTTAATCGACCATTTTGATATTTGATATATATATATTATATATGTATATTTATATGTATATATCATTGCGAAATCGAGTAGAGAATCGATCGAGATTTCTAAGTTGAGTAATGGTGAAAGTCTTTGAACGCTGGATCCTTTACTGATAACAATTTCGTGCGAAAGTAGTTTCTGGGGCCGCTTCCTGCGCGAAGTTGCCGTTACGATATTCTCGGTTTACGAATGTTGCCACGAAGTTAAAGCTTATTAGTGACATAACGTTCCTTGAATGTAGCCAGGGGACCGTCTTACGTTTGCACGCCGATCAATGGTATCGGTATGTACAGGGTGTCCGTTAGTATCAGGTTAGTGATACAACCGAGAGTAGGAAGTGAAGAAATGAATCGAAAGGAAAGAACAGGATTTGTTCATTAAAGCCTTCGTTTTCGAAAAAATTGGATTTGAGAATTAGAGATCAAGTGTACTTGAATTTATTTAATTCTAGACGTGACAAAGGAGAATAATAAGACTAAAATTTCTCTTGAGGAGATCCAGTTTGAATATTTCAATTAAGTACAATTGTGTACCAAATTTCAAACATGTTCAATGATTTTCTTGAAACAAGAACAAATTTTGTTCTTTCTTTGCGATTCTGTTTTAGAATTACTTGGAATTACGTAGAATTACGTAGAATTACTTCCTACTCGGTTGTATCATCAGAACACCCTGTATATTCCTTTACGATCCGTACTGTATTTATTATGGTATTACGGCAATACAATAGAATTTAAATTTCGAGCCAAAGTCTCTTTTCTTTTTTTTCTGTCTGTTGATAAATTGTTCTAATTTTCAGCAACTGTCGACTTTCGGCTAATATACAATTGTCCTCACGTATTGGAACCTCTTGTACGTACATACGCGTACTGTTTGAATTTTTGCACAATGAAAATATTCAGTGCCGTGATTTGTTGCCAGCCATTTGGACAATTTGAATATTCGTACGATTTTGTTGGATTGTAAGATGAAGGATTTGTTTTCAACTGGTTTTATCTTTTAACGCATATAAATTACATTAACACTTCCCGGCAGGATGTTTGAAATGATGGTTGCCTGAAATGATTTATTAGAACTAGCAGGGTTTTATAAATAATTGTACAATTTTGTACAATTATAGTAACCGAACCCATCAAAATATTCGTATTTTACAAGACGATACGGATATTCTTGTCGAAATTAATATTAATTTCTGTCTAATTAATAGGAACATAATCGTGTAAGTCCACTTACTTTAATAACCTTACTAAATTACAATGATTAGCATTACATAACCTTACTAGATTACAATGACAAGCAGAATATTTTTCATACGATCGTTTCGCTGTTAATATTTTATATTGCTGCAATATATAGCTGCAATATATAAGATTTTTGTCAGATCAGGGTCAAGAACATATGGTAACAAGAACATATGGTAACTCTATGGTTAAAAGCATTGGGCGAACTTTAACATTGATAATTTTTACAACCATGGATCAATGTGACCAAAAAGAGTCGTCGGTAAAGTGAATCCCATCGCGCGGAAATTTTGGAAAAAAAAAGAACATTTTGTATGAATTAACGTACGTACTTACATGTCTAATATGCATATGTATATCTTCAACTTTCCAATTTTGCCAACATAATCATGACAAGCGTGTTTTGTATTGCGTGTTCAGATATTTTCGTCAGCCCAGGACAAATTAATTGTCTCAAGTTTCTGTAAAGATTA